AAAATTCTACTTTATATCCAGCACGTGCAAAGTACTTCATGTTTTTTTTGCAGAGGAGAGGGAGAGAGAAATTAAAATAAAGCTAAAAACTTAGGTACAAAATTTTGTGTATCCAAATTGATCGTAAAACCACTGTACGAAAAGTACCTGTATTTACTTACTGTACGTACCAGCATAGAAGTATATTAAAATAAATTGGAAGCAAAAATTGCGAACTTTTAAATATAACAAAACGTTCTATGCTTCTTTTAGAACAGATATTGTCGGGAAAATTTCGTAATATAGACAAGTAAGTAGCACTAAAAAGAAATGATTATAATTTATAAATTTATTTTAAAACAAGTTTATTGATTGATACGCTATTTGCAATTTCTGATGTTCAAACATATATGTATATGTACATTGAACACTCTCAAATAAAATATTCTTTTTCTTATTTCAAACGTTTGTGTGTGAGTCATATTTAAATCTGATCTCGAATCGATTTAAATGACTATTCTGATTTTCGTTTAGTTCTAAACACACAAGCAAAGCTTAGTACAGTAAAAGCTCCTTATTCGCGGGGTATATGTTCCGTAAATATACCGCGAATACAGAAACCGTGAATACGGAATGGTTATTTATATGGGATTATAGGGGATACGTTCCTAGGTGACAAAAAAAAACAACAAATTTATATAAAAAAATATTTAATTGAAGTATTTGATCATTATAATTAATTATCTTAATTAAGGCTTAGGCAATGGTTTGAAGAATTTTGTAATTTTTTCTTTCTTGGCAGTTTTTAAAAGCTCCTTCAATTCAGACTGATACACAGCAGTCGCATTAGCAATTTGCCTCTTAAAAATAAGACTTCGTTCCATAAACGGATCAATGTTCATAAAGAAATCGCAAAGTAATTAGGTAAAGTTGTAATAAGATCTATATTACTTTTTAATTAGTCCATTTGACAAGGATATTGTGTTGGATACCTATTTGGAATAATTTTATTATTATGTATGTACTTATTAGATCCGCGAATAAAGAAATTTTTAGTCGCGAATATAGGAATTGGTAGCATTTTTTTAATCCGCGAATAGTGAAAACGCGAATAAAGGAAGCGCGAATAAGGAGCTTTTACTGTACTTATATATATCTTGTTAAAAACCTAATACCTAGATTGTGGAGTGTTTTTTATTTCGATTAAATAGATAAACAAAGCTTATTTTGCTGCTTAGTTCATTTGTTTTCAAGAACCTCATACATTATGAAGTAACTTTTGCTATGATATTTGTTTTTATGAATTGTATATCTGGAAAGGTTTCTGCATTAGAAGTAGGTACAAAGTAAACTTTGAATTGTTTTTTTCTGTAATAAATAATGAAACTATTGTTCCATTACCTTCAGTACTAGATCTTGCACTTAATGTTCCTGGATACTTACAAATGCACGTTACGACGCTAGTATCCCAGAAGACGACCCACGCTGGTTCAAAGAGTGTCTGTTACAAGCAATAGCGACTTGGGAGTTATATGTTACAATATAAAGTTTGTAGAACAATATTATTATACAATTGTCGCTTCTGTTATTGATATTATAAATATTTAAGTGTTTTTTTTCTCGTGGGATATTAAGTTTTCGTAAAAGTTATCATATATATTTTAGATATATTATTTGAGTAATTTTATATTTACTATCGTAATTTTTGTTATTTTTAATTCAGGGTATCATTTCATTTATGTAACTTCTATAAAATTGTATAGTGTATTAGTGCTAAAACAAGTTGTTTGTACCAACCTATTGAAGTTGCTTTCCAAGCTATTAACGAGCTGCAAATTATTCGCGGTCGAAAGGCGTGGGTGCTTTGCCTACGCGGCAACTTTAACTTCACTTTAACTTAAATTATTGGCAAGCAATTATTAAAAGTACGGTTTACGGACACACATCAAATTTTCTTATAGATCTTTGCTTTACAGTTCAGCGCCGCCATATGAAAACGGTCATAAACTAATTGCAAGGCAATAACTGTAATACGGTTTGCGTGAACGTGTAAAGAATTGCTATAAATTATGGTTGAAATAATTCTCAGTCAATGGTAGTAAGGTATGTTATTCATTATGTTTGCAGGATAGTTATTTAGTTATTAGTATGTTATTAATTATGTAAAGTCTTCGAGAGAGCCTGGTATACAATCATCAGGTCATATTTCATAAATGAACGAAAAGCAATTTCCTTTATGATTGTCAATGTTAACGAGACTCGACTCAAATCCTTACTTCCTTACGCAGTGGAGCGTACATCCAGCTATCTTCTAATGGGTGGTTACCATTAATCACGTGATGGCAGACGGGTTAAGCGGAGGAAATGCCCGTAAATAGCTAATACAAAACGTAGACGTCTGCTCCATCAATCAATGATGTTAAAGTTTTAACATGCCGTTTTTATTTTATGTCAGCTTTTAGCCTTTTAGTTTGCAACTTTGTGATATATTTATGATACATATGATGACTTCTTGATACTTAAAAACAGATTTTAGGTCGATGTCTTTATTTAATGGCCTAAATATTTGGAAAATTTTTAATTTATTTGTTTTATTTTTAGGTGATTAAACAAGGACAATACATTCCCCAAGCCTATATCGGAAAATACAAATTTAATGAACTTACTTTGGGTAAATAACAAAGTAGTAAGAATTATTTAAACAGGCAAATTATTTACAGCCGCTTAATTTATAAGTAATCCCTTTTCAAAGACATCGTTTCACTTCAAGCTTATACTCGTAAAACTTGTAAGTCATTATGAGTTATGATAATTAATTACCCATTCTAGTCGTTTTCCGTCGTTGAAACATAGCGGCGATTTTATTAATATCTTCTTCTACCTGGCAATTTCCCAGCTATAGCCAGGATCTGTCTTACATGTTGTGAATAGTTTTGGCTAATTGTTTTTACGACCGGCCGCCTGCCTGACATCAATCCTCTTTTGGGAATGCATTAATCAGTGATATCTAAATACTCTTAGAAAGTACATATGACTCAGAAAAATCACATTGGTACTCGCCCGGGCCAGGGGCAATTTTGTTAATATATCTAAATTTATTTGTACGTCTTATATAACTATAGTGTTTCTTAAAATTTTGTAGTAGTCGTATAAAAATTAATAGGAAATAAAAAATTAATAACATATATATTTTTCTATACTTAAATAAGCAGAAACATAAAATACTAGGCTAAGAAAATATAATGATCTGTATATATGTGTATTAGAATTGGCAAACTAGAATAGAGGAATGCCGACAATAGTTTTTTATTATTCTAAAACTCATAAACCCCCTGTGAGGGATACAATAGCTTAAAGTCTTCTATATCACTTTAATGTGGTGAAACTGAGATTATATGATATTTTTATATGAAACTGCGGTGTCTTTTTAAATATTATGGTCAGTACGTTTTATGGATTTTCTAGCAGACAATAAACTGTGGTATGCTGCAACTGGAATCATTGTACTGCCGAAGTTTATATAAGGACGTTTTGTTACAGCCAAAGTTCAGTTCATTTGTAATTGAAGCACGTATCCAGTGGCACATCCTTGTGACTTCTGGTTTCTTCCCTGATTACAAATACTCAATTTATTTCCTGCTCTATATCTCAGTAAATCAGTTTGAAGACGGATTTTACGATGTGATCTGAAATATTAGGAAAAGCTTTATTGATTTCAAGCCGTACTAACATTTTGTAGCTGATTTCTCACATTTTGCTGTTAATAAAATTTGTTTAATTAAATATTACTTAAGAAAACTAAGTATTTTACATGTGATTTTATCTTTATCTTAGTAAAAATAATAAATGGAGAATTCTTAACACTCATATCATCAAACTAGTTTTATAGTTAGATAACGACAGACAACACTTTGGAAGCAATATTATTTTACGGTCTCTTTAATTAAAGGATACAACCATAAATTTACGATTTATATTCAAAGTGTTACCAATATGTTAAGGATAGTACCGGATAGCCCTTCTTATGCCGACTAAAACGTTATGTGATATCTACTTCAAGTCAACAATTTGCATATGTAGTTTACGAGCTCATGTTCTGCTATCTGTACTTGTTTGTTGTATTAATTAAAGGTATCTTTATTCAAGCGAACGAAATATGCATCTAAAAGCATCCACTTTGTTTAAATCTTCTTTTAAGATAAACTTTCTGATACTGATTACAGGTTATTTTTAATAAAGAAATATATTATGAATTCAGATAGCTTACTGATACAGCAAAATAAGAAACTCTATAATGTATTCCATTACGCGTCAATGTTCCCGTTAAAAATGAATATGGTTTGAAGCAATTATCTTTTAATCTCTTCTGTCCTGGACCGGGATGCTTTTAAAATGTAAATTGAATGACCCTCACTGGCTTCGCTTCCGTTTTACTTTGTAGCTTTGTTATTTCGTAGTTATAATGAATTGAAATCTTGTGCTTAATGATCTGACATTAATCATTATTTTTTCTTTGTTTTAAATTTTTTTATATTCCTTGGTTCAAGACATATAAGTGTCGTTTATTTCTCGTTATTTCTATATCATATTTTTCTCAAAAGTAACCGCGACTTACAAATATCGTCTAGTAATAAAAGTAGTTTAAGAATCAATATTTTTATCAAAGAATGACCCACTGTATTGCCATTATAACCTTATATGGTAATACAAAGGGGGGAATATAAATACCATAGAATAATTAGGGGTTGCACATGTCTAAGTCGGCTACGTGTGGTGCATAGGTATGCATATTGCTGTGTACCTATGTACATGGATGTATGTTTACAAGCACGTATCTACTTACTTTAATTTTTGAATTTGTTTAGTATCGTAATATAATATAATGATTTGTTTCAGAAGTGTTTTATGATTTTATCGCGTTTCTTCAAGTTGGGCCATTGCCAATAATTTTTTTACACTCGACAAAAATTTGTTTTTTTTTTAATAACTCATATGAGGGACCTCGCCTATTTGCGAGTTCTATGGGTACTATTGTGCAAACTGTGAATGACCTCTTCAGCATAATAATGGGTGAAGGGATGCGCAGGAGCGCGTGCAGCAGAGGGGCGACCGGTTTGAAATTAGAACGTTTTTTATTTGAGCATAGTTGCTTTGTCGGCACCCGCTTGGTGCGCATGCGCTAACTCGACAAATACTTCCAATGAAATAAGCCGTATTTTGTTTCGTTTCCTTTTTGAATAGTCTTTTTTAATTTTTTATGAGGGTTAAAGCAAAAATTTTGGGGTTACGTATCGGGTCAATAGTTTATATGCAGGAAGCACAGCATATGACGTAACCAAAGCTCCTTTATAGAGTGAATACAAATGTTATTCCAACATATAATTATATATAGGTAATAAAAGACCAAACTTTTTATGATGAAATTTATTTACTATGGAACAAATTATGTCCGTTTAATAGCACATATCTGTTAGAAAATTTTAATCATTGTACTTTTAAATGACTGTTACGATAAAAAGCTATACATCAATCAAACTCAAATTATAATTATAATTGATGTCAAGTAGGAATGATACGGAGATATGGATACAAACGCTACAATAATTAAGCGATTGGTATTATGTATGACGTTGCATCATAAGTTCATGGCACTCTTAGTTTATTTACAATGGGTCAAACAGTTGTAATATCCCATTAGATAAACTGTACGGCGCCTTGAATCCCCCCATTTTGAAGAGAGTAAACAGAGATGAGGGAGGGAGTAGTACGATTCACGACTCGGAGCCAGTTGGTCGCGTCACAGTTCAGAACGTAACGTTCCCGCGCTTATGCAGCGGGCGCTAGAACTTTTGGCGTTGAATTTTAAACAGATTGGAATGACTTTTGAAAATAAGAATGCTAGTGAAATATATTATAATTAATGGCTTGACCAATATGTAATGTATATGTGAGAATTGTGTAATTTTGTGGCAGTATGGTGGATGTTGGTGGTAATGAATGTGATAACACCGTAACTGGGAGGAACCAATTTGTTTATTTAGTTTTTGTGCATTTATTACTTATTGGACTGAATGGAACAAATGGTAAATATTATTTTTTACAGTTTTTTTCTTTTTAATTTTAATTTATAATTTGCCATATGTATTTATGTTGAGTTTATTATATTTCGACTGTACTGTACGGTATAATTTTAATTTAAGCGAGTTTCTGACACTTTGATCAAACTAATATGCATGAATATTCATAAGTAGGGTTAGTATAATTTATTCAAACATTAACTTCATGTAAATATAATAAGATTGTCGCGTTATCTTGATCTCTGGGATTGTCACTTTGAATAATTTATAGGCAATCTAATCGAAACCATTATAAAAATACAATCATTATCAGTATAAAAATATTAATTTTCTAATGACTTGAAATACTCTCGGCTTCGAAGTTATTTTATTAGTTTATTGTGTTAAATTTGGTAATGTTGTATATCAATAATATATATACATATATACATATTTTTAAGAAAATTTGTAAATTAAATTATACCTGGAAAAAAAAGAGGCAAACAGTTTTACAACAATTGATAAATGTTAATCGTCAGTTTACTAAGTATAAATAGTTTTTATCTATAATTCCTATATTAAACTTTCATTTGAAGCAAACGTCCATTCTTGTTTTCTAAAACATGAATACATTTGTAATGCTACTTGAATGTATTGAAACCGATGCATAGTAATGGCGATGACATAAAAGGTCTGATCTCTGCATGCTCTTGAATATTATTTAAAGGATCTATAGTGTGTACATTGCTTTATATTATTTCTTTAAGTTTCAACTTGGGTTCTTAATTCATTAGACTAGAAAATAATGGCATACTATTATTTGTCTATGGCTTCGCTTACGTACTAGAATTATACCAGGAAAATTCCGTTTAGACGGGCAAAATTCACGCACGTAGTATCTAAACACAATATTTATTTCTAATATCTTTGGAAATCTTCGCGTGGTTAGGTAACAACACAAATATAAACTTTCAAATGTTTTATCATAATATATTATAAATAATAATAGGATAGGTGTTACTTTAATGTTAGAACCATACTTATATGAGAAAAACTTAAGTTAAAAATATAAGTGTTGTTATATATTTACTATAGTTTGAGTTATAATAAGCTGCTTACTTAAAATCACAATCAGCGCGGATTATTATTAAAAATATTAGCAAAAACCTAATTTTATTCATCAACAAAGCTTTAATAAAGTAATCACATAACTTGATTTAACTCGATTACGACCAAGATTTACCTATTAGTGTTAATACTTGTAAGATCTTGTAATGGGAACCAGTTGAGTGGTCATATAAAATTTACATATGAGGTCTTCTAATGTCTTTATAATACCGGTATTCTACGTAAATTAATATATTTGGAATTTATGATTCGTGAGTATTTAATTCTGTTATTTTCTTAAACTTTCGCAATAATTTGAATCGGGTTTTATTGATTTGTATTTATTAGGTTCTGCAAATGATTAACATATTTATGAATGTTTACGTGGATCAGTAACATTAAAATATTCAAACAAGATTTTTATCATATTTCTAAAGTTTGTGGGAGAAAGTAAGCTCATGTCAAGTAAATAGATTGATATTTTTCATCTTTCATTTTAATAAATGTCTATTAAAATATTTGCTTAATATTTAACAATTGAAACTTCTTCCGTGCGCAGGTCATTTCTTCTTATTCTTTTCTTGGTAAAAATAAAACCAAAGAAGAAACCAATTCAAATTACTAATAAAACTACTTATTCTACAGTTAAAGAATTGCTAACGAACAATAGCGATATTAAATGTATGCTATCTCTGAATACAGTTGTGTGCATAGCAATAAACATATGTTATGAATCCTAACATTTGAAATCAATGTAATTCAAAATAAAGAAAAGTTCAAGGGCCATATATTAAAATACTATATTATCAATTCATGCATTTGATATATTACTTGACCTTTAACCGACCTCTGGTTCAGTAACTGATATGTATTAAAGCAATATTTTTACGGCCGTTTAAAATAATTATGAAATACTACATGATCAATTATGAGAAATAAAAATAGATGTAACCTAGAAAAGTATTAAATCAATAAGATACAGCGCTACTGTTATTTAATTTGGTGATTATCATTATTACGAAATAATTTTGTGAGTAAACATAGTTCAGACAAGACAGATTTTGTTATAATTTAATACAATATGTATTACTGTACTCAACAATTTTGTACTGTATTACTTTTATGTTATGGGTAGATAGTATAGCATCGAACGCCCTATTGGTTTTTTTTACTATGAAATGCGTCAGTCAATCCCTTTCTTAGATAGCGTAATGGGTGGCGTGCACTTTAATATTCTTATCAACCAACTTTCGTAACCGTTCCCGCGTCAAAGATATTTGTGTGCCACTCAATATCATTGACAATTTATGACGGGTCCGATTAAGCCTTTGTGCATTCACAATAAATTTTAGTTTGTTATATTAAATAGATAAATTTATTTATAACTCCTTGATTTTGTTTATCTTGGGTCTAAATTTAAAATATTTTTTAACAGCTATTTTATTTATTACAAGGTCTTGTCCTTGAACTGTATGCTACAGTAAAATTAAATAATACGTCTATAAATATAAACATAATATTGTATGTGTTATATGAATGAAGTTGCATAAAAATGTTAGTAGTAATAAGATATTGTAAGGCGAGGTTTTGAATTTCTTCTAAGCGTCCGGGTTCGTTTTAAAACGATTTTATATCACCTGGTATATAGAATGTAAAATGTAAAAAAAATAAAAGACTTATAAAATTGTATTAATAAAAGAGGCTTATATATAAAAACGGTAGACATAATTGGCAACTGTTATAAGTTACTCATAATGAATTATCAGACGGAACATTAATTAAGAGGATACTGATGATTTTGTCCTTTTAATTAGCATGCATTGATCCCTTTATGCTAATAAAGTCCTTATGAACAAGAAATTAATATCAGATTCGCTTGTTTCAATTTAATACAACCTTTAGACCGAACAGTTGAGTAATTAAAAGTAGCCTGAGCCAATTAACAAAATGTAGTTTGGTAAGCGCTACGTTAACGAAACAAAGGAGTTCTTTTTTTTAAAGTTCAGCCTTAATTAGAGTTTGTGGGTAGTTACACTTTTATTTCGTATTTGGTCGTACCTGTTAGCAGTTATCGTGTTTCTATTTTCTTTGTGTAACAACTTTTTTATTGACTTTGCCAAAGTTTTCGCATCTTTTATTTATTTTCGTACCGAAATTGAGTTGCGACTTGCGGCAAGAATTGCTCAAGAAGTTCGTACAATTTGTTTTCGAGTACCCTATTATTAAGACAAAAAATATAAAGAATTGACTTGACATATTTATATATAAAAGTGTTTCATCATTAGTATAAAATAGAAAAAAGGAAACTCTTTATAAAATTAATTAATCATTTGTCAGATTGCACACTATAGTCTAAAAACAGACTCGTCAAGATAATGCGTTCATTGTACAACTCTACGTGGCTTATCGCGATAGTGACAAGTATTAATAAAGGACAACTACCGCGTTTGAACGGGGTTTTTTTATAAAGAGTAAGGTCACTACAAAAAGTTGACTCAGTATTATCGCCTTGGATTAGGTTATGGCGTTTTAATATTTATTAGTAAATGATAAACCGACGTTATCTCTTATTTATTTATTTTTTTGTAAAGAAACGTATCTTAAAATTAAGTAAGACATATGCGTAGTAAATAAGCTGAATGTTACAGGATATTTCATTAAGTGTAAGGGAATTTTAGATCACAAGTTTAATTTAAAAAGGTATAGTATTATTACAATGTTTCATGTAATCCTATTGGGAGTTCTTCCTAAATATATTGTTTTATTTTTGTCTATCAAACAAAAGTAAAACTTGTAAGCAGTAAACAAAATGTCTTCTAAAGAATTCACGATTCATAATGATTCGGTTTATAGTATATAAATCTAAATGCTAGCACGACAATGCGGAGGCAGTCATTAATAGATATCTTTTTTTAGTTTAATCTTGTCGTAAAATCTAAACGTATAAAAATGAAATAAAATGAATTAATTTATGAAGCAATATGTCTCTTTTCTTTTCGTCCAAAACGTACATATTCATCGAAGAATGTATAATTTTCTTTGTGATGTACAAATTTTTAGTATAATTTATTGTTATAGACTCTAAATTTAAAGATATTTTTGTAAAATGTACTTTATTTATAATTTATAAATATTTTACAAGACTTTATTTCTTAATTGATAGTGAACGAACGAGGTATATGTAGTTGAATGAAAATAATCAAGACGTAAAGTAGAAAATTATTGAGAAGTTTTGTAGAGTTTAATTACTTTTTACAACTTTTTCTCCGGTAACAGGGTGAAACCCACATCTCGTTTGCCCATGATCACGTTGCTGTAAAGTAACTGAAACGTCGGGAATATGTAGTTTATAATTAAAAATAAAAATCACGTAGTAAATCCGAAAATATAAGTTTCATTTAAACCTAACGTTTATTGATTAATGCGAAAGAAATTCCCTTTTATGGTATTGAGTAAGTCCAGTAAGTCGTCAATGTTCTGAAAGATTGACGCAACGCGGCATTTTGTTTCAATAATATATAGTGATTTATTGTCAGTCTAGAAGTTGAAGAAGATTATTTGCGTCAATTGTCATCTATTTACTTAGTTTGGAATAGTCGGTTTTTGAAAAACTGATCTAGGAAGTATTAAATGTTTGATTCAATTGTGTACAAGATGTTTTAAATAATTGTAATATGACAATTAACTACTTTTTAATAGTGTTTCACATAAAATTGTATATGGAAATTGAAAGATCTTTATCCTACAAACATTAAATATATTCTGATAGCACAAAATCGAGCGCCACGAATCAAAGAACATCCATCGAATACGGTATCTGGCAGAAGTGAACCCGCCACATTGAGATGTGTGGTGGAAGGTCGACCCAAACCGACAGTTCAATGGTTTAAGGATGGGCTACCATTACCACCAGCGGAAGATGGACATAGAGTTCTTCTGGAAGATGGATTACTCTTTTTAAGGTTTGAAAATACATTTTTTTACACATAATTGATAACTTGAAGTAAATTTTGTTGACATTAACGTGAAAAAGGAATCAAATGAGTCATAGTGGATGAATGTAAAAATAATTTGTATAATTTACAAACTTTACAAAGAAAGAAGTACATTGTTTATCGTAAAAAAGAGTAGTTTTTCTATTCTTCTGGACTAATTTGCTCCATTTAAAAAGTTTGTTGTTATGAAGCCACATGAAAGCAATAAATATGTAATGTCCGAGGAATACTAATGAGTAAGCATTTATTTGTTAACACAGGGTAAACCGGGGGAAAAAAGAAAGTGATGAGGGGGTTTACTGGTGTGTGGCTCGTAATATAGCAGGGGAGGCTGCAAGTCAGAATGCTTCATTAAATGTGGCAGGTAACTATAATGCTACCAATTATCATTTACTACAATATACATATTATGTATATCCTTACGATATGTTTTATACTGAATTTAATTTTAGTTCTACGCGATGACTTTAGAGTTGAACCAAGAGACGTTCAGGTAGCCGCAGGAGAACCTGCTTTGTTAGAGTGTATTCCACCACGTGGCGTTCCAGAACCGTCAGTTCATTGGCTGAAGGATGGGCAGTTATATGACATTGAGGTCAATGGAAGGTATGCTTGTTCCCATAACTTGTAAAGAATTCCCCTTGACAGTTATATTAGCTTATTCATCGTTTAATAGTTGATTTAGTATCAAATAATATGGTATCGTGTAATTGTTTTAGAGTAAAAATAACAGAAACGGGAAGTTTAAAAATTCTTGAAACGTTACCAAACGACAGTGGTCTATTTAGATGTGTGGCTTCCAATATAGCAGGGGATAGACAATCGAGGGCAGCGGCACTTATTGTTCTCAGACGACCGCATTTTGTGGTGAAACCCAGTAACGTTACAGCTTTAGTTGGACAAAACGTTGAATTCAATTGTCAGGTAAAACACAAAAGCAATAAAGATATCAACATATATGTACATCGACAGTATATTTAATGAACACAATTTGTAGGCTTACGATAATAGCGTAAAGGTGACCTGGGTTAAGGAAGATGGTGTATTGCCATCGCACGCAACTATAATCCGAGGCCTGCTTCGCCTGGAGCAGGTATCAGCAAGCGACGCGGGTGTTTACTCCTGTCGGGCAGAAAGTCACACAGGGTCGAGTGTCACTACTGCTTCTTTAACTGTTTACTGTAAGTCAACAATTAAGTACATTAAAACATCCACTATTATATAATTATAATTTCGTTCGTTAAGTATGTGAAATCTCAATTTTATAATATTTTTCGATGTTTACGATAAATATTCATATGATGATGATACGGTAGTGTGTTATTCATCTATATTCGGTTAATTTTTACTTTGAACAAAAAAAATTTTCATGATTCAATAACATAAGATAAAATTTATGGTTCGCGCTGTGTGGAACGTTTATTTTATTCAATTTTATTACATCATATTTGATATCTGTTCGAATCTATTTTAATGCGGCCATCTGTTTCAGCCTTACCGCACTTCACACAGATACCGTCCAATTTGACCGCATGGGAGGGAGATGTCGTGTCCATTCCATGTGAAGCAAAAGGATTGCCAACACCTACAACATTCTGGATTTTAGAAGGAATTGAGGATTCTCTTTTATTTCCGGAATGCACTAAAAGTAATTCTAGTTTATTGTATCTGGACGGAGCGAAAGTAGAACACAGTGGAAGGGTTATCTGTGTTGCCTTAAACGCGGCTGGGAGTGTTATGCAAGAAGCTTATCTAAATGTGTTAAAGAAAACCAATAGTCCATCGAAAGTACATTCTACTGATAAAAAGTTTGGTCATAATCGTGATCACGATGGCCGTATGACGGAGTACGAATTTATTCAAGCGAGGAAATATTTACAGCAAAATGTTTTAGTCTTGAAGAGAGTAGAAACTTTGTCTTCGACGTCTGTTAAAGTTGTCTGGGACGTAAGTGTCAAGTATTGAATAAAGTTTTGCTTCGTCAAATCGATATTGGGTAAAGTAATGAAGTAATTACTATAGTATGAATTTTTTAGGTCGTGACTGATTATAATGAGTATTTAGAGGGTGTTAAAATATGGTATAACGGTACTTCATTGAATTGGCGGAATAGAACCGAAGAACCTGTTTTATTGATTCCTTATCACAGGGATGGTTGTTCTAATGGTTCCCTGATAGATGTAGATAATAGTGGTTCGTCAAGTTATGTTCTATCAGGCTTATTGCCATACACACAATACGATATTTTTCTAATGCCATATTACAAAATGTTGCTTGGAAAGCCCTCAAATTCAATGACTGGTTATACTGATGAGGATGGTAAGAATGATTTGTTCCCGTAATCCAGAATTTCCTTATACGTTTATTGCTATATAACTTGTAACATAAATAATTATTGTAGTGCCATCAGCCCCACCCCTAAGTGTAACAGCGGGTGTAATTAACGCAACTTCTGCTTGGATTCGATGGGAACCACCGCCTGTGCACACTTGGAATGGAGAACTGACGGGTTATTTAGTAAGTTTTACACTATATAATAATATACTATTTGTAGTTTTATACATTGTCTATTGTTTCTCACAATGGTAAAATAATTAATAGGTTTCGTTTACAAAAACTGTTCACAATTGCTTTGCTTACATACATTTTCCTAATTGAAAATATATAATTATTGGTTATGTGGTTATTTTTAATTCATGAAATCAAATTGATTTAAATAAAGTTTAAGAATTTTGTTTCATCGTAATGAATAAGGAAATATAAGATAACGAAAAACAGTAAAAACTGAAGTATATCTTGTCTTTTAAAATTAACCCCCTATGATAGTTCTCATATATGTAATAACGAACAAAAATATACAGTCACTCTTCTTAAAGGAACAATATGTATGCTATTTCACAAATGTTGCTTACAAATAAGTATATATTTTGTTATGTCCTCTATACGTATCAAAAATCGATTAGATTGAGATCCGGTCTGGTGGTACGGGTGGTCGCGTCGTGGGTCAGATGTCTCTAGGGCCTCGAACACGCGCGGCCGCCGCAAGTTCATTGAGAGCTGGACAGTACAGCGCCCGTGCTGCTGCCACTACACGCAAAGGACACGGTGCTTACAGTACGCCTGTCATAATAGACATGATGTACATGCACTCCCAGAGACATTATGTCCAGTGAGTGATATTTAGATTATATTTGTATTATGTATATATAAGTATCGTGTATTTTTTTATTCATAGAACGAAATATTAAGTTCAGACTATTGAATCCAGGACACGTTAGTTTCATAAAATATATTAATATATGATTACCAAATGGTTTTTTATATGTATAAATATATTCTAAAGTTTCAAAAATACAACCCTTAACAGGCATATGGATAAATACTCGTATATATCTAAGTTTGTATAAAATTGAAAACCATTTTTAATCCTGGTCACTTTATCCAACGTTAGAATTGAGTCATAAATATTATGGTCCGACGCATATTCGTGTCTATTTCAACCCTCCTTTTCATTCTCACTAAATATTCGGTCACCACTATCTATATGGAACCAATATGTTAGGTGTCACATTTCATTAAAATTTTATGTGTACAAACTAACGGGAACACCGCAGCTTTCTCTATCATGACACACGCCCTCCACGAGTGACCAGATAGAATGACTGATTTAATTACGTGTTACATTACACTGAACCAAACAATATTCTTTTAGAACTGAGCCGCCGAATGACGCTACTATTCCACATTTGCTCCAGGAAACTTGGTTGCTTGCATTAGCATTAACATTATTCTCCGTCATCGTAATTGGCATAGTTAGTATTTATTACATAAAACGTCGGAATAATATCCAAAGAAAGAAATCAAATGGTAAGTCATATATTTATAAAGAGTCAATTTGTTAACGCCTGTATGATTGATGTAATTGAAACGTTGATCTCAATTGTAGGTCAATCTATAGTGACAGCACAACAATGTCTGCTGAATAAAGACACGATATGGCTGAGAGATAGACCGATATTTGCACCTCCAGATTCTACTTTAGATGTAGGTAGTTGTCATCAAAGTTTATTGCAAGGTATTGTACTATTTTATTGTTTATTATACTGTGATCTGACTTAACAACTATAATAACAGTATTCCTTTCTGTCGTTAGGTGGTCAATCCCCTAATATTTTAAATATTGAGCCAGAATATTGCCTGCCACAGAATTCAATTCAAGGTTTAGATGCTTCGAGTGTTGATAGAATAAAACGCGGGCCACCTGAGCCGTATGCATCCAGCGCTATTTACACTGAACTCAATTTCAAGGTACTATGATAAGCATTATGAGAATATCATTGTGGATATAAGATAAGCAGACGTATTTGATTTGCACATAACGTTATCATTTTTTAAACAGGTATACAAAGTGATTTCTATAAAAATATTTTTCTCATAGGACAACACAGACATCGGAGATGCCAGAAGTTGTACCGAAAGACGTTCTCATAACAACAGCATTGTGCGGTCTTGCAATGGCAGCATCCAATATTCTAATGGAGAATGTTCGACTTGTTGCCATAGCACTTCTAGTAGATCGACTAAGGATTACAGGGAGTTAAGACACGAGAATCAAAACGAGCTAGTAGTTGAAGACGATAATGCGTCATATCATACTAATAGATCGGGTTCTAAGAGTCAGGACAAAGCCAAAGTTTGTCCAACAACTGATTTAGAATACGATTACCCACAGTGGCACTGGTTAGGAAGAGAGAACAGTTTCAAAATTCCCATACAACAGCTCCGTTCGGAGCGCGCCTGTCAAATAAATCTGAATGATATACTGCCGCCGCCGTACGAGGTGAGAGGAACATTGTTTAATTTGTCCTTTTGATATTCCTGTTGTTTGAATTGAGTTATAAGCTCAATTTTGGACGCCTGTTTAATGTTTGATGTTGTATAATGAATTTTGTAAAATTTATTTCAAAAATCCTTTTCTTTCCAGAGTCCGGAAAATAAAAGCCAGATGAAATAGTATCATTAGTTTTATGGTAGTGACGTAAAATGAAACGAGAAGCAATAACCGATATCGTTTTTGTAATGTTAAAATAAGTCTGTGTATTGAAACAATTCTAGATGTGTACGTGTCTATTTATATTAGCGAATTAGTGTTCAAAGTCTTTTAGTAATCTGCAGTCTTATGAACCTAAAGGGTAAACTTCTATTATGTAAATTTTAAAGACATGTATTCAACCCATTGGTAGCTATAACTTTAGCTATATAAGTGTGCTGAAAGAAGTAAAACAAAATTGATCTCAAAGTTATCAATACAATTACATACCAACAATTTGTGAATGAAAACTACCGTATAGTATTTCATAAGTGCCAACTAAATTGGCTTAGGCTACACTAAACACACTTTAGAGGACGTAAAGACTAGTAATAACAATTATAGCGTTATAACCGTAAGAAACTGTAGTTGAATTGAAATAGAACTTGTACTTTGTAGCTACCATGTATTAAATGTGTATCGTAACTTATTCCTAATTCTAGTCACAGTGTTTAGACTAGCTTCACCCTTTGATAAAGTATATGCGATAGATTCACTTAATATATCGTTTAGTGAGACCGTTGGATACAAGGTTCATTTTACACTGCCATTACATATAGTCTTAGTGCTTTAGTTGTATAATCTTTGACTGTGATATTTATATTAAATTCATGTATTAGAAATATTGTATAATTGTACTTTTAATAGTTATTAATTCCACATCTTAACACTATCCGTATTAACATTGTTTATCCCATTTAAAACAATAATTTCATTTTGCAATCCAAATATTTTCAGAGCCAGTTGTGTTATTTAAAATTTTCAAAAATATAGGACTTTTATAATTATAAATTTGTTTTTTTTTTTCAACCAATTCCCTCCAATTGATAAAGAAGAATGAGTAAACTGAATTATATATTGATAAAATAAATAATATATTCTACTTTCTTAAGACAAATTTTTGTAATGTTACTAGAATTTAATGTAAATAAGTTTTAAGTAAAACTTTAATGTAAAAAATAAATAACGTCTGTTTGTTAGACTCATCATTTTTTATCAAACTCCACTTTCAGAATAATATCATAAAAGTAGAATGTATTTCGTAGTTAATAAAATAGTAATTCTTCAGTAATGAAGCACGTCGTTACCTGTAGCTTACGGCTTTTAGTCGAGCCGTAAAGCCGAAAACCCGATGTTAACAGAATCCAGTAATAGTCGGCATAAATGTACATTTTAATTATGATTAAAATCATATTTATGATGCTCAGAAACGAAAAAACATGACTATACTTACCTTGATTAGTACTGACTCAAGTGTTTTTACTATAAGTTTTCTTTTCATACTAGCTTTTACAACCGACTTCAAATAAGATATTTGAAAAAACAAGATACTATTTAATTTAAATAAAGATGATGTAGCGAGAATATAATTATTTCAAAAGGAAAGAATTATTTATATATACATTGTATTCCTATTTGTTAATCAGCTTAAATCTTTAAGAACAATTCTCGTAAATAAATGGTAGTGCCGAACACAACAAAGAAAATCTTATGAAACACAATTAAGAACTTTTGACTACAAAGACCGTTGGCAATTTATTGTAAATCTCACGATATCATTCTCTCCCTTAAAAAGTCTAGAAATATTAATTTATTGAAGTTCAACAACTACGAAAAATATATTTTTTATAAAGTTATAAGACAATACAAAGTTAATATGAATAAATTTACAACAATCGTAGATTTTAATTTTTAAACTCAATTTAATAAAGGACTAACAACGGTATATGTAATTCTTTTTTTAGACAAGAATAAAGTTATTGTTACAGTAGAGCTCGTTTAAAAGTAAAAATAAGACTCAACGTATTCAATGATCATAAAAGGTTCAAAGCGACTTTGATAAAATCTTAAGTCCTTTACAGTAAGTATTAAAACATCATGCAAATATACCGAAGCCAACATCAGAAGAATTTGTGAGCAAGCATAATTTATGTAAATGTTTATCGGAAAAGTTATTTTTATCCCTAAGAAAGAGGCATTGTTTATAACTGTTAAAATTTTTCTTGAAAATCAGACCGTAAAATGTTTTAAAGACATTCTTTCATTTTTAAATATCGAGTATAAGTTCTGAGATTACCGAACATGAACTTATTAAAATTGCTCATTAGCTGCTGCATTAGTTTCAAAAATTGCCGCTGTGAAAATTAATTTTAAGTAAGTACATGTAACAAACGAGAATAGACTCCATAATTGCAAAAATGTGTTTTGGTGTGTCAGCAATTTTATGTTCTAAGTGCGTACCCGTAAATCTTTTTATAATTATATTTATTAATACCCACATCATACATTTTCCCGACCTACACTGCACTAATCCATTAGCTGTACATGAAAAGTTAATATAAACGCCAATAAAACAGTCGGACAGGTACATCACGACCCTTCTAGGGTGCAGCCCTGCATTTTGCTGTTGTATTGTGGATATAAAATATTTATTAATATTGATTTAGAGTGAAGGACTGAAATCATTAAGCCCGTCGCGTCGGTACGCACAGCTGAGTGAAATATTTGGATTGGACATAACAGATCCGTGGATAATTGCTTGACAATGAATAATTTATTTTGGGCATTAAATCGTGGTTCAAATTCGATTGTTGTTGACGTTAAGACATAAATCTTGGCGAAACTGAACGGAAGTAATTTACATAAGAGCTGCCATCGCCGGATTTATATCTTCCTATATTAGTATATCTTTTTATTAGTACTAAAACTCGCCCACTGTTTAAAATTTTAATCTGAACAAACAAAAGTATAATTTAAGATACAGTTAACAATTTTACAGTCAGGGGAAGTTATTCGATTTTTACACATATTATATCACATTGAGATAATAACTAAAAAGAATGTCTAACAGTAGAAAATCAAGTTATTAAAGAAAATATCGAAATAGAATTAGTATTGCTCAATAAATCAATATAATATTTGATTAAGAGTAAAACTCATCGAATAGCAATCAATTATGAAGCTCCCTATAAACGTGAGGTCAGCAAGTCGCATTTATCCACTAGACACGGGACACCAAGTGGGTATAACAAAGTAGTACACTTAACGATCGAAGTGAACCCGAGCGTAAGTAAAGGTTCTTGGCATCGAGAGGTCGCAATTAGACGAAGCTTTTAATTACGAAATTCGAGGTAACAGCGAGGCTTCACGCCCCCTTGTCTTTCAGGGGATTCTAATTCAGTAAAGCGTATAAAATTTTGAGTTATTTTTATTATTTATTATAGTGTAATTTCTTTTTATTTACTAGTACAAAAATGTGTTGCCTTTTACAAAAAAAAAATAGAATTTATCTGAAAGCCTATAACACTTTATTTACATTTAAAGTTCTTAATCTGTTTAGTTGGTAATTTGAAAATTCCAGTTTCAAAGGTTGAAGATAGGAGAACATCATATATATTACTGGCAGTAACATAATATATTCGTTTATTTTTATGCTTCATTGTTAATTAAAGTATAACTTAAAGTAAATAAAAGGGTGTAATATGAAACTAGAGGATTTTCTATGAAGATATTTTTAGGGATACGTTTTGGTATTCCTGTAAGGTAATATTTGAAGCCTTTTAAAGTCATTCAGTACTCATTTGTTAATTTGTAAATGTAATGTTCCTTGTATTCTTAAAACTTCGTGAAACGACAATAGCGAGGCAGTAGCAGAGACAAATGCAGATCACAATGCAATCACAGAGCTATGCTAATGCTAGTACTTTGTACATATTACAATTAAAATTAATGGTAGTTCCTCAAATTAAAAATATTTATGTAGTTAATTATTATATAAAAAATGACTTATAAATTTATAATAATGTCTCACATTCAATATGTAGCAATCAAGAGAATAATAATAATTACTCACAAATATCAATTTATGCTAAACATAGACTACAATCCCAATTACTGCATACGAGATAAAAATCCGACACAGATTCTATCAATCCACTTCAACCATCTTACTTAAAGAATACCGCTTTAATAAAACGAAATGTTTAATATCGATTATAATTTACGATCTTAATATAACTAATAACTTACGATAAACGTTCTGATAGAGCAATATCAGAAATGTGTTCTTACATCGAAAAAGCTGTTATTTTAATAACGTTAAATTGCTAAACTGATAGAATAAACACGAAATTGCTTTTTAATAAACCCTCATGGGCGTTGCATCCAGACCCGTTATTACGTTTCTTTTTTATTTTGTTACGGTCATTTATCTCGACAACATTACAACTGCTACAAAAGGTGAGTAGAAATGTTATGTGTGAAATAGTCCAATAATATCAAATTGGGATCGGTTTTTTTTATGTATTGTTAGAAATGCTCGTAATTTGGACTTATAAAAAAGTATATGTACGTTAATATCTGACGTTGTTATTTTGAATACATCCTCTTATTTTTTGTGTATTATTAGCTATGGCAATGGACTCCACAAGAAGGATGCCGAAGACCGGGCTAAGTGGAAGAAACTGAGTGGGAAAGCGGACCCTGGGTTCTCCCGCCCTGGGCGGGACGAACAACCGGGACAAACGCTAGGGTGATGATGATGATGATTAGCTATGGCTTACAATTTCACTAGCATTGATTTTTTAAACAGCTTAGGAGTTTTTAAAAACAAAAATTATCAAAAAGAAACAATTACAAGGATTGTTATATTGTGATCGGTTTTAGTAAAATTTGAGAAATGAAAGGGCTTCCAGATATATTAATTCATCAACAGGAATCTTCAGAAAATAATAAGTCAAGGGCGACTTTGAAAACATGTAAAAAAATGTTCCACATCGTCTTCAAGGTATAGTAAATTTATAGAGCTATTACATTTTCTAGTTTTCAATGAACCAAGAAGAAAGGCAGTTTTATAATCCTTAAATTACAGCCAATAAAACGGATATTCAATTAATTTATGACGTGGGCGTTTTACTGTGCCTTTT